GGATCGAGCCCCACATCGGGCTCCCTGCTCGGCGGGAAGCCTGCTTCTCCCTCTCCCACTCCCCCTGCTTGTGTTCCCTCTCTCGCTATATCTCTGTCAAATAAATAAAAATCTTTTTAAAAAAAATAGAGGAACTAATTTAATCCTCACAATAAGCTACAAGGCTTGTTACTATTAATTAGTATTAATCATCAGATGTTACATAATTGTTATGGTCAGTGTTAGTAACACCAATAAGACTGTTATAAGTGCATTTTCCAAATGAGTACACTGAGGCACACAGAGGCCAAGTAACTTACTCAAGGTTACACACCTGGGAAGTTTTAAACCCAGACAATTTGGCTTGAGGGTCCGTTCTCTTAACCGTTTCAGTTAGTAGCAACCTTTGAGAACATTTCAAAGCAAAATTTAATCTGAGTTAAGCCTACTTTGATTAAATGCAATAATTTTTTATATCTGACATTTTCCCAGTATTTTTTTTTTTTTTTTTTTGCCAAGGGTTTGTCCTCCATCATTCTGGAATCTCAGCCTGGCCATTTACTTGCTATACGACTGCGGGCCTGTCACTGGCTAAGCCTCAGTGTTCCCATCTGCAAAGTGGGCACATTCCTATTTGTTGGAAACATGTGCGTGCCAGATGAAGCAGATAAAGCCCTGTGCCAAGCCCATCATAAGCACTCAGTGTTTGCCGCCAGCATTGTAGTGCTTATTAATGTCTCGCTAGCACTTCCTAACAACTGTGTGAGGTAAGCAGGATTTATTATCCTCATTTCTCAGATGTGGAAACCCAAACTCATAGAAGGGAAACAACCGGCCAGAAAGGAAACAGCCAGAATGTGGAAATGTCAGACTTGGGACATGTTCCAACTCCGAGCCTCCTGCCCTCCTCCCAGTGCTCAATGCCACCTGCCCCCCTTTCCCAGGAGGCACTGTTAAATGAGCCAGATCATTCTTCCAGCGGGACTATGGAAAAATTTGAAGCAATTGGAAGTCGAGGCTCAGGGAGAAGCTCTGAGGCATGTTTAGAAAGTTTTCGAGGTGAAAACAGGTTCCTAGGTAGGGACAGATGAGCAGCACCTTCCCTCATCCCCAAGCAACTGCCAGAAGGGCAGGAGGGCCAGGGGTTGCACATTGTGATGAATGGTGCTCTCCCAAGGAGCCGCAGGGCTTGGCCATGAGTGGAGGAGGGGAGCGTCCCCAGGCTGGGAGGCTAAGGCAAGTGGGAACATTGTCATCTTACAGGTAAACCAGACGAGCGTGTTCAATATTTTAACACTGTCTAAAATAATCAAATACTACTTTAAAATGGCATTCCACTTGGGGTTTGTTTTTTAGTTTTTATTTGGTTTTAGTCCTTCGGTGCTTTTCTGTATTTCGGTGCACTTGCTCAAGCTACTATTAGGGCTTCCCATCGTGGTACATGGTGCATTGGGTCCTGTGGCTGCAGGCAAAGGGCTAAGATAAGGTCAGGCCCTCTTCCAAGAGGTAAGATCTTAGCCAACTTCTTTAAGACCCAATTTCTTCATCAATACCAGGAACATGATGGAAAGATTCTGGGATTTGGAGTATCTGTGTTTGACGCCAGCCCTCCTAAAATGAAAGTCACCTGCTTCCTCTTCCTACATTATGCCAAGCCTTCGCCGATATTTTTTTCCTTTTAAAATGAAAGCTTTTTTTAAGATTTTTATTTATTTATTTGTCAGAAAGAGAGAGATTGAGAGAGAGAGAGCACAAGCAGGGGGAGCAGCAGTCAGAGGGAGAAGCAGACTCCCCACTGAGCAAGGAGCCTGATACAGGACTCAATCCCAGGACCCTGGGATCATGACCTGAGCTGAAGGCAGGTGCTTAACCGACTGAGCCACCCAGGTGTCCCTAAAATGAAAGTTCTTATTCTGTATCTTTCAGTAGTAAGTTGGTTTTTTTCAAATCAATACATGCCACTTGCAGAAAATCTCATTAACATTCCAATGATTTACTCAGCAAATTGTTACTGAACACTCACTAAGTGCCAGGCCCTGTGCCAGGCAGCCCTGAAAAATAGACCAGAGGGACTCCTCAGACAATGACAATGAACTATCCGTTGTAATTCAGAGACAGAGACACCAACTACTTTGGCTTTCCCCATAGCACCTAGGACATGTCACGGGCCGTGGTAGCCACCTCATATGCTCAGAATTTGGCTGAAATAACGAATCATCCTCTTAAACATGTATACACATTTCTCTAATTAGATGATATTCCACTTATGCCCACAAGGTGGCAATCTTGCTTACGGTTTACCCAAGCTAAAAAGCACTGTATTAAAAAAAAAGATTCTCAGAAGTTAAACCAAAAGATAAAAAATCAAATTCAATTTATTGAGCACCTATTTAGTGTAATACACTATGTTAAGTGGTAAGAGAAATAAAAGGTTAAGAAATATTAGTCCCTGCCCTCTAGGTTAACATAGAGGGTGAGGAGCTTACACAGAGCAGGAACAGTACCTTTTAATGAATTACTATGTTTTGATGCCTACATATGGGAGCCATAGTGACCGCAGCATCAGATAAGATGTATAAAAAAGGCATGATACAGCTGCGTGGTGTGGAACAGATTCAACAAAGACTCCACACTTCAGCCAATATGGAAACACTTGAGGGTATACGGGGTCAGCTCTAGAAGGCTCCAGATGTGGTCTTTTGATGCCTCTGTTCAGCCACAAACATTAGGGTGTCTGCCCTATAACTCTAAACATTCATTCTTTGGAGAATAAAATATAATCGGTGCCAGCTGATGAGCTAATAAAGTTGAAAACCCCCATGTGCACCTGATGGGGGATAAAAAGAAAAGAAACACATGTAAAAAAAAGGATTTCTAACTCCTGCTTCCAGGAGGTGGAGTCCACCCCCAACCCCAAAATTGCGTCTTACCTGGGAATCTTGGTTTGGATCTGGGACACACTCCTGCAGAGAGGGAAGGGGGGGAAGCCAATTCTTGCCCAAGAGCCTTCTTGGTGGCTTGAACCCAGAGGTGGCTGGAAGACAGTGCGGTTTCTTTTGTCATTGTTTTGGGGGTTTTTTTCCCCTTCACCCTCCCCACCACCCTCCGCCCCCCAACCATTTATTTTTCCCTGAAACCATTAAACCAGCAAGTCAAATGTAATATCGGGATTTTTTTTTTTCATTTGAATTGAAAATCACATTTGGAGAATCAAGTGGCTAAATGACAGTGAGTTAAAAAAAAAAAAATGAAAATGCTGGCAACTTGATAAAAAATAATGAGCTTTCCTGATGGAGGGAAAATCAGGTGGCGTGCTGCCAGACGGTCCGAGTTTGAATTTTATTTAGTTTGTGCACTGGCTAAGTCCGCCGTATTGAGCAAGCCTTTTCCGCCTCAGTTTCCTCCTGGGCAAAATTATATCATTTCTTTGGAGAGAGAATCTCTGACACCTCTCCCTCCTGCACTAGGTCAGATCCTGGGTTACAGTGTTCTCATAGCAACCTGAACCTCTCCCTGGAACGTAAGCTCCAGGAGCACGGGGAGATTCTGTGGGTTTTACTGCCCTGAGACCAAGCCTCGATGAACGGATAAACGAACGGCTGGGAGCTAGCCTAGGTGTTCTATTACTTGCACAGCGAGGTTTAATTCCCCGTGAGTCCCTCGGGAAAGACGCAACGACCAACCTCAAAGCGCACACGCCCGCAGTGACCGGCGGTGGTAGGCGCGCTCGAACAGGGGGTGTCGGTTCAAAGTTGTCTCTAACCGGGCTGGAGTCACAGTCTCTGTGGCTCGGAGAGCTTCCCGTGGATTTACATAAGGCAGGGTGAATCACACCGTCGGAAAGCGACGAGCCGAAGGGACCCGCCCCAACCCGCGCCTGGCGGCGCCCGCAGCGCGGCAGGGGTCATTCGGAACTTTGCAGGAGGCCAGGCGCTGCCCCGGCGCAGGGGACCGGGCGACCACTCCGACCCCCGCCGGGGCCAGAGCCGCGTCCCTCCCTCTCCGGCGCCGCTCGGGCTCGGCACCGCCCCCTCCGACGCCCCCGCGCGGGCGCCTCTAGCCCGGCTTCCACCAGGCCCGACCGAAGTGGGGCCGCCTCTCCCGCTTGGAAGGAGCCATCGCCGTTTTAAGGGGAAGGGGCGGGGAGCGGCGGCGGCGGAGGGGGAGGGGGATCCCCCTCGCTCCCACGTGGTCCGGGCGCCTGTGAATCGCGCCCGCCCGAGGGTCTCACAGCGAAATACAAAAGCAGCTGGGAAGCGGCGCCGCGGCGAGTTCCCAGCGCCGGGCAGAGCCCCGCGGCCGCGATGGGGCTGAGGCGCCCGGAGCCCCGGAGCCAGC